TGGAGGTTGCTGTGAGCTGTAATGCCACGGCACTCTACCCAGGGGGACAGCTTGAGGCTCTGTCTCAAAAAAAAAAAAATAAAAATAAAAAAAAAGAAAATGTAAAAAGAGCAAAAGGTTTGAGCCAAAGAACTTGGACGTATTGCTGTGTATCACCGCTGTGTACTGCTCCGGTGCTGCTGTACGTTGTTGCTTATCTTCCTGTCCTGTCATAAAATGCTGCTTGTCTTCTCTCCTTTTCTGTTTTTACCACCAATCACTAATCGTGCTTTTGAGCTTTTGGTGTATAATTTTTGTGGATTTTTTTTCTGTGTAAAAATGGATCATATTATTAGTGGTTTCCAGCTCTGACTCTCCTGTAATACTTAAAAATAAACATACACACACACTGGGATACAGCTCACATTTAACTAAATCGGAATCTTCAGACATAGGGCTAAGAGGGTTTTATTTTAAAAAAACTCTCCTTCAGAAATTTTTCATACCCCTCAGAAATTATTTTATTTTTTTCTCTCAGTTTCTCTCAGAAATTATTTTAATTGAAAAAAATGAATGTTGCAATTTTATGAGAAGCTTTAACTTGTACACAATTCTTTATCTGATTATTCCATCTTAACTTTTTCCTAGCCATTCCACCCTATGGTGAATCTGGATTGTTCTCGAGATTTCCGGCCATTTCTCTGTGCGCTCTATGCTCCTATTTGTATGGAGTATGGCCGTGTCACACTTCCCTGTCGTCGGCTGTGTCAGCGGGCTTACAGCGAGTGCTCAAAGCTCATGGAGATGTTTGGTGTTCCTTGGCCTGAAGATATGGAATGCAGTAGGTGCGAAAATTACAGGTTTTCATGGATCATTTCTTAGGTTGCAGTATGTTTTAAAATTACTTGTCTTTCTATGTCGACTGTCTTAAAAACTTTTTGAGGTATATGTATTAGTCTTTAATTCTGAGCAGCAAAATTATTTCCTTAAGAATTTGGGAGTACTAAATAAAAAATGTTCTATAAAAGAATTTTTAAAGAATTAAATTAAGAAATACATAATTTAAAGATGAAATACACAATCAAGTCATTTAGTTGATTTTTCTTCCTTAAAACATTTTTTCCTAGTTATAAAAGCCGTGTCCTTTTTGAGAAATTATAAAATACTGAGAAGAAAATAATCATTAATTACTTCATTATCGGGGAGGCTTAAATACCTTTATGATTTAGATTTGTTAATGACTAGGGTCAGTCCTTTTTTCTGTCATGTATTAACTTACCAAATCCAGAAAAGGTCTGATGCTTTTCAAATTATGCCCAATGTGTAGACAGTGAGCATTTCTTAAAGGTTTGAAGATTTGTTTACTAGACAGTCTTATAGTTTTGTATGAGTGACCATTATTATTAGTAATGATATACTATATGATTACAGTTTTGTATTCTGAAATATTTCAGGGATAAAGAATAATAAAGTGAATACTTACGTACCTATTACTGTCTAGCTTTGTCCAATCTTAACATTTGTAATATTGGCTTTAGATTTTAAGACATAAAACACTATAGGCAGAGTTGAAGATTCTTTCTTGTTACCCATCTTTGATCATCTCATTCCCTTCTTTACCCCACAAGAATGAGGTAGTCAGGGTGGTGCCTGTGGCTCAAGGAGTAGGGCGCTGGCCCCATATACCGGCGGTGGTGGGTTCAAACCGGCCCCGGCCAAAAATTGCAAACAACAACAAAAAAAAGAATGAGGTAATCATTATGTTGAATTTATTGTTAATCATTTCCATGTTTGTTTTTGTATGCTTACTGCATACATATAATACCCATAAAAATGCAATTTTTTTATAAGTATGTTTATATTTGTAGGTCTGGTTCATTCCTTTTAATGGTCTTAGAAGGCACTTGTATTAGTATCCTATAATTATTTAGCCATCTCCTACTGATGGTCAGTTAGGTTATTTCCAGGTTTTTATTTAATTAATTAATTAATTTTTTTTGAGACAAGGTCTCAAGCAGTCGCCCTAGGTAGAGTGCCACGGCTCACAGCAACCTCAAACTCCTGTGCTTAAGTGATTCTTTTGCTTCAGATTCCCAAGGAGCTGGGACTACAGGTGCCTATCACAACACCTGGCTATTTTTGTTGTGGTGGTGATTGCAGTTGTCATTGTTTTAGCTGGCCTGGGCCGGATTTGAACCAGCCAGCCTCAGTGTATGTGACCAGCACCATTCCCACTGAGCTATGGGTGCTGCCAGGTTTTTATTATTATAACCAACAATCTTCTTGAAAAACTTATTTTTTAAAAAACTTTAATAGATTTGTAGGTACAAGTTGAATTCCATTACGTGTATATATTGTACAGTTGTGGGGTCTGGTTTTGGTGTACCTGTCCCAAGTGTACATTTGTACCCCATAATTTTTCATACCTAACTTCTTCCCACCTTCCCCTCTCGTGAATCTTCAGTGAACATTATGTCACTCTTTGTGCCCCTGTGTAGTGACAGTTTAGCTCCCACCTACAAATGAGAACATGTGGCATTTATTTTTTTGTTCATGCTGGGAGGCCAAGGTGGGTGGATCGCCTGAGCTCAGAAATTAGAGACCAGCCTGAGCAAGAGCAAGACCCCATTTCTACTAAAACAGAAAAACTACCAGGTATGGTGGCAGGCACCCACAGTCCCAGCTACTCAGGAGGCTAAGGCATGAGGATCACTTGAGCCCACGAGTTTTAGGGTGCTGTGAACTGTGATGCCACGGCACTGTATCCAGGGTGACAAAAGAGACTCTATCTCAAAGTAATAAAATTACTTTTTTTTTAAATCTGGGAATAGCCATTGGAGGTAAGTAAAGCAGGTGTTGTTTCACTCATTGGCAGATGGAGAAACTTAAATAAAGCATGTACAGTGAATCCTCACTTATCATCGATAGGGTCTTGAAAGTTATGACTTTAAGCAAAATGACATAATGGAAACACGTTTTTTTCTCATCTAAATGACATTAAACAAACAGTCCTGCCATATGAGTTCTGACAATTAAGTTCATAAACATCCTAGAAAAAGTGCCACGTACTTCATTGCTGAATGTCACTACGGTTGTCTTCAAAGTGTTCCCCTTGGAAGCTCTGCACCAAAACCAGTGCCAGGTTCACCCTTCAAAGCAATTCTGCAATTCTTTTTCTGGAGTGGTCATCAAAGTTCTTGTCATGTTACTTGATGTCCTGAATGTCATCAAAATGTCATCCTTTCACTGTTTCCTTTTTTAAAGAAAAAAGTCATCAGGGGCCAGATGAGGTGAGTAGGGAAGGTGTTCCAATATAGTTATTTGTTTACTGGGCTAAAAACTCACAGACAGTGTCATGTGAACTGGTGAGTCGTCGTGGGCCATGCGGTTTTGGCAAAAAGTTCTGATCATTTTCATCTAACTTTTTCATGTAGCCTTTTTGGCACTTCCAAGTAGTAAACTGTCTAGTTGGTGCAAATTCATAATGAACATTCCTTCTGATACCAAAAAAAGTTTAGCAGCATCCATTTGATTCTTAATTTGGACTGATGGAACTTTTTTGGTCATGGATAATTGGCCGACTTAGTTGTATACTTTGACCCTTTGTTTCAGGGTCATGTTGGTATCACCCATGTTTCATCACCAGTGATAACATGGCCTACAACATTGTCTTGCCTTCTCAAAAAGGTTTTGGCAAACTTTGACTCTCTTTGCTTTTGTTCATTGGTGAGCTCCTTGGGGACCATTTTTACACACACTTTTCTCCTGCCAAAATTTTAAGATTTTCCTGTTTCACTGTTGATGTTTACTTGGTCTGCTATGTTTCCTATAGTCAGCCAAAGATTTTGATGTACAATTAAAGAAATTTTTGCAGTGTTTTCATCAGTTCTGTGATAACTGGCCACCTAACCTCTCTTCATTGGTGACACTTTCTCTCCCCTCAGAAAAATGATTCATCCATCTGTATACTCATTTTCTTCATGGCATTACTCCTGAAAACTTGGACTAACATGTCCCTGAGTTCACTTCAACTCTTACCAAGTTTAACAAGAAATTTAATGTCCGTTTGTTGCTCTAGTGCAAGCTCTAACATTCTTGAGAAGGGCACACAAAAACATTAACAACAATAATGAACCTCACTCAGCAAGACACCGCCTTACAGTGACACTTAGCCAGCTGTGAGACACTGATAGACCAAGATTATGAAACTTTACAAAGTTGTTTGTCCAGTGCTGCCAACGTAAATGCACAGTGGCAAGCTCACAGACTTAACTGTCAGACCTCACATGTTGTTTTGCTGAAAGGCACAGTTTGTGAGAACCCATCGACAACATTACATACAGATTATTGTATTAGCTTTTTGTAGTCAATTCATGGACATTTTGCTTTCTCATATTTACCTATTTCCTACTCATTTGACCTATTATCTAGCCCCACCAATAGTTTATCTGGTCTCTCTCTAAATACCTGGAGGTGCCCTCTTTTAGAAGTCTGTAAGTTGATATAAAACAACAGCTGTGAATTGCGTGAGCAGGAGCCCCTTCTCATGCTTCTTACATTTAACTCCTTTGTTGAGGGGCCTTTTAATTGAATAGCTTACATGTAAGGTTTCTATACATGTAAGTATAGAAACCTCATTATAATCTGTATTTCTTTGTTATGTGTTCACTATAGCATAGGACTCCCTAGCTTGAAGCCCTTACATCCTGGTGAAGCCTCTTTCATTGCGACTTTTCATTCTTCCACGTCTCTTATTGTCTTAGTCTGTGCTGCTATAACAAAATACCACGGTTTGGATAATTTGTAAATAATGAAAATTTATATCTCATAGTTCTGGAGGCTGAGGAGTCCAATATCAAGGTGCTGGCAGGTTACCTGTCTGGTGAGGGTGGTTCTCTGTTTCCAAAATGGCACTTTTTTGCTGTGTCCTCTGCTGGGAAGGAACTCTGTGTTCCATCGGTGGAGAATCTATAGCCTTGGGGCCACGTGTGGCCCTTTGAGTGAATTCAAATTTTATAGGACACATCCTTTTAATAAAGGTATGCATCTTTTTAATAAAGAACAGTGTGTCCTCACCGAGTAGGAGAGCAAGAGAGGCAAACTCTTTCTGAAGCATCTTTTATAAGAGCATTAATCCATCCACTTCCCAAAGGGCTGTACCTCTTAATGCCACCACAGTATTAATTGAATGTCTTTGTTTTGTTAGGATCTGTTCTAGATGGTGAAGATGAGCAGTGAACAAAATGGAGTCCCTGTGTTTATGAGCTAAAATTCTAGGGGTGGTGGTAAATGGTAGGATGTAACAAATAAATAAATGCTAAATAAGAGAAAACACAGTACAGACTGTATCCCTGTCCCTCCTGTAAGAGCAGAGGAACTCCATCTTCTCTACAGTCCTTGGGGAAGGCCTTTTTGTTAAGGAAATAGTGGACCAGGGACCTGAATGAAGTGAGAATAGATGAAGACATCTGGGGCAGAGCGGCAGGTGCAGAGACTCCGAAGTGGAAGCATGCTTTGTGAATCAAGAAAACAGGTGAGGCTGGGCACAGCGGCTCACATCTGTAATCCTAGCACTCTGGGAAGCAAGGCAGGTAGATTGCTTGAGCTCACAAGCTCCAGACCAGCCTGAGCAAGACCAAGACCTCATCTCTAAAAAATAGCCAGGCGTTGTGGAGGGTACCTGTAGTCCCACTTACTTGGGAAGCTGAGGCAAGAGAATGTCTTGAGCCTGTGAGTTTGAGGTTGCTGTGAACTGTGACGCCATGGCACTCTATTGAGAGTGACAAACTCAAACTCTGTCTCCACAAAAGAAAAGAAAGGAAAAAGCAAACAACAGGAGACCAAAGAAGCCAGAGCCAAGCAAGTGAAGGAGAATGGAAGGAAATAAGATCAGAAAAGTACTGGGGCCAAGGGGTCTGTGTAGCTATGGTAGGGAATTGGTATTTAACTCTGAATGAGTTGAGAAGCCATTAGAAGGTTTTGCATAGAAGAGGCATCATTGTGAACACAGGAGTGGCATGACTAGAGGATCACTCTGGCTGCTTTGTGGAAATGGAGATCAATTGGAGCCCCCTCCAGAAATCCAGGGAAGAGGTACTGAAGGCTCAGGCTAGGCAGCAGCAGTGGAGGAAATGATAGGAGGTCAGACTCTTGACTTATCACAAAGTACAATGATAGGAAATGCTGGTGGATTGTGAAATGTTATATTAGAGAGCAGGAACTTCAAAGATGAAAGATGATCCCGAGATTAGTTTTTTTGTTTTTTCGAGGCAGACTCACTCTGTACCCCTGTGTAGAGTGCTGTGAGCTGTGATGCCACAGCACTTTACCATGGGTGACATAGTGAGACTTTGTCTCCAAAAGAAAAGAGTTTGGTTTCAGAAGGGGTACAGATTGAGGTGCCTATTAAATACCCAGTTGTATATGTTGAATTGGCAGATATACAAATATATCCATTAAAAATATATATTATTACTTTGCATGGTCTTAAATTTTATACTGATGTTTATATATATGTGTGTACACACATGTTTCTGCAACTGCACCTCTCCAGTCTCATCTCTATCACAAATTATGCACACTTTATGTTACAGCAACACTAAATACACCCTGTTCAAACATCTATGCTTCTGCTTGCATTTGCTTGCTAATACTGGCAAATACTCTGTATTGGGGGACTTATTCTATGAAGTCCTTTGTAACTCCTTCTCCTTGTATAATCTTTGTCTTAATTTTTTTTTTTTTTTTTTGAGACAGAGTCTCACTATGTCGCTCTGGATAGAGTGCTGTGGTGTCACAGCTCACAGCAACCTCAAACTCTTGGGCTTAAGCATTTCTCTTGCGTCAGCCTCCCAAGTAGCTGGAACTACAGGCACCCACCCACCACAACGCCCAGCTATTTTTTTTGTTGTAATTGGCTTTGTTGTTTAGCTGGCCTGGGCTGGCTTTGAACCTACCAGCCAGCCTGGGTATATGTGGCCGGCATTGTAACCACTGTGCTACAGGCGCCAGGCTTGTGTTTATCATTTTTATACTTCATGTATGTTTTGATTGCTTTAAGTATCACACTACTGTATTTTATGTATGTTGTAGTTAAAAGTTTTTGTATCCTTTGGACTTAAGAATAGAGCCCCTGCTTTGTTGTCTTTAACTCTTGGCATACTGTAGAGTTCCAATAAATTCTTGAATGCAATAAGTATCCTGTAATTTGACTTTATGATTCTAAGCCCAGTGAAGAAAATAGTTTGTATTAGAAATTAAAAAGATTTGACAATATTAAGCAGCTACAGCATAAGGTTGTGTCTGTATTTGGCAGACTTAATATCAGTGATAGTTTCTTGGAAATTATTTGCATGTAAAACAGTAAACAGCTAGCTAGTGGGAGTCTGAAACCTTAGCAACCATATTGGTAAGAAAATTTAAAATGACAGAAATTAATGAGAATGTCCTTAGTTGCATAAGTATAGTTTATCTGCAACTCATGAGACTGTTGCACTTTCCCAAGTTTGTGGACCATGTCCTTTGGAAACTTGTTAAAATGCGGATATCTGGGTCCTAACCACAGACATACTGAAATTTGATTTGTGGTGGTGAGCATAAGAATTTGCATTTTAAAAATATCCTTTTTCTTATGAATATCAAAGTTTGAGAAAAACTGAATTAGGGAATACAGGGGACTGGCAAGAAATCAGAGATGGTAGGAAAGAGTGAGCTGGCATTAGAGACCTTCGATGCCCTTGAACTAACCAACAGGATAAGCTGAGAGGGCAAGTGAAACTGGAAGAGAAGATTCCAGAACCATCCACTGGGAAGGATTTTTTTTTTTTTTTTTTTTTTTTTGAGACAGAGCCTCAAGCTGTCCCCCTGGGTAGAGTGCCGTGGCATTACAGCTCACAGCAACCTCCAACTCCTGGGCTCAAGCCAGTCTCCTGCCTCCGCCTCCCAAGTAGCTGGGACCACAGGCGCCCGCCACAACGCCTGGCCATTTTTTGGTTGCAGCCATCATTGTTGTTTGGCGGGTCCGGGCTGGGGATTCGAACCCGCCACCTTAGGTGTACGTGGCTGGCGCCTTAGCCGGTTGAGCTATAGGTGCCGAGCCGGGAAGGATTTTTAATGCTAATCTAACTCATAGCACTTTGGACCATGTATTTAGGGAAGATTTTTAACTGAGGCTTAAGCCAAAATAGAGGAGACTCTATTCTGAGTCTAGGCTGCATTCGGGACTGTTGTGGTTAAAGGAGAGCCGAGAGTAACTTAGCTACTGTGCTGGTGGAGTGATGCAGTTGTACCTATATATGTTCATTCTGTGAAATCTTACTCTGTGTCCTGAATACTCTGTATATACTGCTGTGCTTGACCATATGTTCATTCTTTGAAACCTTACTTTGTGTCCTAAATACTCTGTATGCACTGCTATGCTTGACCTTTTTTTCCCCCGTGACAGGGTCTTACTCGGTCACCTGGGCTGGAATGCAGTTCCTAATCATGGCTCACTGCAGCCTCAAACTCCTAGGCTCATTTGCCTGACTAATAAAGAGTGCTGCTTTTGAAGAAAAATAAAATTATGCATAAAGTCATATCTTTTTTGAAAACTATGGAAAGTTTGGTTGTATGGCCCATGAACAAGACATCACCATTTATTTTCTTCCTACTTATTACAGTTACCCACAAAGATATAGAAATAAATAAGATCATGGGTGTGAAATTTGTAAGTCTAAATTGTTAGATGACAGTAGATTGCCCCTTTAGTAAAAATGGTCCTCGTCTTACTTTTTTTTAGGTTCCCAGATTGTGATGAGCCGTATCCTCGACTTGTGGATATGAACTTAGCTGGAGATCCGACTGAAGGAGCCCCAGTGGCAGTACAGAGGGACTATGGTTTTTGGTGTCCCCGAGAGTTGAAAATTGACCCTGATCTTGGTTATTCCTTTTTGCGTGTGCGTGATTGTTCACCTCCTTGTCCAAATATGTACTTTAGGAGAGAAGAACTGTCATTTGCTCGCTATTTCATAGGATTGATTTCAATCATTTGCCTCTCTGCCACATTGTTTACTTTTTTAACTTTTTTGATTGATGTCACAAGATTCCGTTATCCTGAAAGGCCTATTATATTTTATGCAGTCTGCTACATGATGGTATCGTTAATTTTCTTCATTGGGTTTTTGCTTGAGGATCGAGTAGCCTGCAATGCATCTAGCCCTGCACAGTATAAGGCTTCCACAGTGACACAAGGATCTCATAATAAAGCCTGCACCATGCTTTTTATGGTACTCTATTTTTTTACTATGGCTGGCAGTGTATGGTGGGTAATTCTTACCATCACCTGGTTCTTAGCGGCTGTGCCAAAGTGGGGAAGTGAAGCTATTGAGAAGAAAGCATTGCTTTTTCACGCCAGTGCCTGGGGCATCCCCGGAACTCTAACTATCATCCTTTTGGCGATGAATAAAATTGAAGGTGACAATATTAGTGGCGTGTGTTTTGTTGGGCTCTACGATGTTGATGCATTGAGATACTTTGTTCTTGCTCCCCTCTGCCTGTATGTGGTAGTTGGGGTTTCTCTCCTCTTAGCTGGCATTATATCGCTAAACAGAGTTCGAATTGAGATTCCATTAGAAAAGGAGAACCAAGATAAATTAGTGAAGTTTATGATCCGGATTGGTGTTTTCAGCATTCTTTATCTCGTACCACTCTTGGTTGTAATTGGATGCTACTTCTATGAGCAAGCTTACCGGGGCATCTGGGAGACCACCTGGATACAAGAGCGCTGCAGAGAGTATCACATTCCGTGCCCGTATCAGGTAAGGGACCTTGGTGTAAATGTCAGAACATTTGATAATAAAACACAAAGAGCTAACCTTAGCTATTTTTAAAAAAACTTCATGAACCTAAACCTGTATATTAAAATTTTAAAGAGAAGATGATGAACAAATATGTTATAATAAATATGGAGTGCATGTATTTGTGTAGACATCATTTTAGATGATGACTTGTAAGTCCAGGCTATGGACTTTTAAGCAGTTTGCTTCTGTTCCCACAAAGCATTTGCTTGTTGACTTTCTTTTTTTAGAATTCTGCAGGTTTGTGGGGGAGAGCCACTTTACCAACGCTAATAAAGAAGTGCTGTGGGAATTTTATACTGATTATTTGTATTAGGAATTACTGTAACAGGTTTTTTTTTTTTTTTTTTTTTTGAGATACAGTCTCAAGCTGTCACCCTGGGTAGAGTGCGGTGGTATCACAGCTCACAGCAACCTCAAACTCCTGGGCTCAAGCGATTTTTTTTGCCTCAGCCTCCCAAGTAGCTGGGACGACAGGCACCCGCCAACGCCCAGCTATCCTTTGGTTGTAGTTGTCATTGTTTGGCAGGCCCAGGCTGGATTTGATGCCACCAGCTCCGGTGTATGTGGCTGGTGCTCCAACTGCTGAGCTGCAGGTGCTGAGCCACTTTAACAGTTTTGTGAAACTGATACAATGCAATTATACAAATATACAAACTCTTAAAGGCCTTGATTTTACTTCTTTGCATATTGAATATTTTGTGATCTACCTTTGAGTTTAAAGAGTTCAGAGCTTTTGATTGTCAGAGAATCATTGAAGTTTAGAGGTCATTTACTTAGGTTCCTTCTAATTTAGGGTTCTTAAACATCTAGCACCTCATTTGTAGCTTTGAAATTTTAAGTGACTTGTTTATGCTTAATAAATGACCGGCTGAGACTAAGTCTTAGGTGAGGAATATAGTCGAGGAAAATAGTACAGAGGAGTTGATGCAAAGTACTTATCTCTCCAATCTTAAGTTCTCTGAACCTGTGCCCCTAGCTGTTACCCACCTTTCTTCCTTCTAAAAACAGTTTCTTGGGCGGCGCCTGTGGCTCAGTGAGTAGGGCACCGGCCCCATGTACCGAGAGTGGCAGGTTCGAACCCGCCCCGGCCAAACTGCAACAAAAAAATAGCTGGGGCGTTGTGGCGGGTGCCTGTAGTCCCAGCTACTCTGGAGCCTGAGGCAAGAGAATTGCCTAAGCCCAGGAGTTGGAGGTTGCTGTGAGCTGTGATGCTGTGGCACTCTACCAAGGGTGATAAAGTAAGATTCTGTCTCTAAAAAAGAAAGAAAGAAAGAAAAAAGTTTCTTGTAAGAATACTCTGAAGTTAGTGCCTCCCATTCATCATATCCCGGAATTCGTGTTCTCAGAATATGCCAGCCACCTTTTCATTCCGACAACCCGTGTTGTTAATACCTTTTAAATGCTTTTGTTAAAGTACTTATGCTTATAGATAACCTGTGTTTGCTAGTCATTTTCCCTTACTGGACAGTGAACTATTTGAAAGCAAGAACTTTTTTGGTTTTTGAATACATACTCTGTAAGTCAGTAGACTTCAGTAGATGAAAGCAATGAGAATGTGGGTATATAGATTGAGAAGAAGGGACTTTTTAAGAAATGGTAACAGTGTTACTGAGAACAAGGACTGTGGGAATAGTGGCTAATAAAGCCTCATACATGACAATGAGAATGCCAGTCTCCCTTTCACTTTGTGGTATAGTCTTATAGTAAAGATAGTTATTAAGGTACATAGCTATGATTTAATAAAAAAAATTTTTAAAAGATAATTATATAATTTTACAAATAGTAGCTACTGATTTTTCAAAAATAAACTGACTTGGCTCGGCGCCTGTGGCTCAACGGGCTAAGGCGCCAGCCACGTACACCGA